TGCGTCTGGCCGTGGTCGCAGGTACATATCCTAATACGGTTGCGAAACACATATGAATTCCTCCAGTTCGTTAAAGGCGGTGTGTGACAGACCTCAAACAGATCGCACTGGGTTTCTGCAATCACCTACATGAGCTGGATCTGCTCCTCACTGCCTTGTAGGTCAGGCTATTGAGCCAAAGGCTCCGGGCGTAGTCCCTCAAGCAAACCTCCCAAGCACAACCACCACCAGTATCTTATTGGTTAATTTACGACATTTCTGTACCATTACCGACCAAACGCGTTTCTGTTATGTCAATAATGCCTTTGCAGGCATGCCTCGCACTGTCGAGCATAAAACATATATTTATGTATGCCTGCGCGCAAAGCACTCAACATCGGGTTCAGGAACAAGCACACACTAATGGACCGGAACTCGAGTGAGCGCCCTGAACAACGCACTACACTGGTCACGATAGAACTGGCGCGCTACAACATCAATATTGCGGCGCTCGCTGAGCAAGGTAAGTTGAATGAAGCTGGTGCTGACTATACTTTCTACTGGGTGGGAAACGCCAACTCAGCACCACGTGAACACGGGGTCTTATTTGCAATATCCGATCGCCTCCATGGCCAGCTGGTGGGTGAACCACCAGGCTTCAGCTCGCGACTGATGACTGTTCGCCTAAAACTTGGAAGGTATAAGTTTGCCACTTCTATAGGCACGTACGATCCGACCATGTGTTATCCTGATGACACGCGTGTCAATTCTACAATCAGCTATCCTCCGTGATACGGTCTGTGCCGAGGAGCGACCGACTATTTCTGCTGGGTGATTTCAACGCGTGCGTTGTGCGTGATGTATCGGTGTGGACACATGTAATCGGTCCGCATGGCATTGGTTCAGCGAATGCGAACGGTGACAGGCTGCTCTTACTGTGTGCCACTCACGGCCTGACGATCACGAACACACGATTTGCACTGAGTGCAGGTGATATAGCAACTTGGACGCACCCACGGAGTAGTCAGACTCACCTACTGGAATAAGTCATCGTACGTCAGCGTGATGTGCGTGAAGTGCGCATGACACGTGTACTGCGTGGAGCTGAGTGTGTCACTGATCACAAATTTGTGCGGACCAAACTGTACATATATCTTCGTAAATCTATGTATTGCACTCTCGCCGTGAATCGGCATAAATTTACTATTCTCTCCCTCGGTATTATGGCGAAACGTATTGAGCTGGAGAAGGTGATGGCTACACTCCTGTGTGAGGTGGACTGCATAGCCACAGTGGGTGACCTGTGGCACCACATTCGCGACCAGGTGACAGCTGCTGCCGAGGAGACCATCGGGCGCGCAAACTGTAAGCGACCTGATTGGTTTGATGAGAACGATGCGACGATTGACGCATTGGTGTCGGAGAAGAATGCAGCATTTGCTGCACATGTCGCAGACCCCAGTGACTTGGGGAAGAAGCGTCAGTTTCGCAAACTTCGACGGCGACTGACCCGAGACCTCCGTCGCATAAAAATGCATGGTGGACAGAGAAGGCGAAGCAGATGGAATGCTACGCCGAACGTCGTCAACACAAGGAATTCTTTGACTCCTTGAAGGCGGTGTATGAACCGAGACTGGAGCCGCTGAGGACGCTGATCGATGGTAGTTCAGGCGCTACCTACACGCAGACTGCAGACATAATGCAGATCTGGCGAAAACACTTTGACTGTCTCTTGAACAACCGTTCAGTTATCGACTGGCCTACATTGAACGGCCTCATGCAGCTCGATGTAAAGACGAGTCTGGCGGAGGCACGGACACTGAATGAGACGCTGCGAAACGGCAAGTGTGCTGGGTCCCACGGGATCCCGGCTGAAGTATTGAAACACGGCGGACCCGCGTTGTTGACTGCGCTGCACCACTTGGTGCACCGCGTATGGATTGAGGAGGAGGTGGCTGCTGAGCTGAAGGATACCCTTGTGCTACCACTGTACAAGGGCAAAGGTAGAAATCAATGTGGCGTTAACTTGCTGAGTTGTGTGGGCAAGGTGATCGCCCGAGTCCTGCTCAACCGTCTCGTCAGTCAGGTTGTGGAGCCTAACGTGGCGGAAGAGCTGTATGGATTCCGCTCGGGTCGCAGCTCTATAGATACGGTGTTTGCGGCTCGTCAGTTGCAGAAGTGTAGAGAACGACACCAGCCGTTGTGCGCGCTTTTTGTTGATTTCACCAAGGCATTTGATACGGTGAACCACGAGGCATTGTGGCTGGTGTTGGGTAAGTTTGGTTGCCCGCGTAAGTTTGTAAGTTTAATTGATTGTCTGCACAGTGGTATGCGAGCGAGGGTGCAGCTGAGTGGAGAGACCTCGGATGACTGTATAGTTGTCACTGGTGTGACGCAACTCTGTGTCTTAGCTCCTGCCCTGTTTAATATCTATCTTCATGCAATGATGTCTTGTGCTTGCGGCTTTGGTGTGGAGCACCGTATTGATGATGGGTTGCTGAACATTCGTTGTTTCGGTGTGAGAACTCTAGTCTGTGAGACAACTATCCGTATGTTGCTGTTTGCTGACAACTGTGCGTTGTTTGCACCCAGCGCGATTGAGTTGCAGCACATGACTAGTGCTCTGGTTTCGACAGCGGCCAAATTCGGGCTCACCACCAACACAAGCAAAACTGTCTGCCACGCATCTTACCGACACGGACCATTCCCCCAATCTAGCCGAGGCATTTAACGTCATCTATCGATCACCTGAAAATTGATCAAAGTGCGTTCACTTGAATCGGGGGAGAGTTTAGCAATCAGACTATACGAGCCGGAATTGTGCGTCCAGAAAAGATTCGCTCACACGCTGTGCTTGACGAACTGCTCCTTACAAACCAAGGAATTGTGCACGTGCTACAACTGTGTCCTAGGGGGGCAGTGATTGACAGTGACTGTGAACTGATTGCTATACCGGTCCTTGTGCTGTGTCTGTATTTTGGTTGTTTTTTTGCATATAATTGTACAAGTCTGAAGAAGAATTATTGAAAACATATGTTCGCTCGAAAACATCGAGTTTTGATCACAAATTTGTGCGGACCAAATTGTATATATATTTTCGTAAATCTATCTATTGCACTCCTGCCATGAACCGGCGGAAATATAACGTTTCCCTAGGTAGTATGGAGAAGAGGATGGAGCCGGAGTAGACGATGGCTTCGCGCCTGTGTGATGTGGAATGTAATAGCCACGGCAGATGACCTGTGGCACTACATTCTCGACCACGTGACAGCTGCTGCCGAAAAGACCATCGGGCGCGCAAACTGTAAGCGGCCTGATTTGTTTGATGAGAACAATGTGACGATTGGCGCAGTGGTGTCAGCGAAGAATGCAGCATTTGCTGCACTTGTGGCAGACCCCAGTGACTTGGGGAAGAAAAGTAAGTTTCACAGAATTCAACGACCACTAACCCGAGAGCTCCGTCGCAAAAAATTCATGGTGGACAGAGAAGGCGAAGCAGACGAAATGCTATGCCGAATGCCGCCAACACAAGGAATTATTTGGTTCCGTGAAAGCAGTGTATGGACCGAGGTTGGAGCCGCTGAAGACGCTGCTCGATGGTAATTCAGGCTTGTACACAGACTGCAGATCTGGTGAAATCACTTTGACCGTCTCTTTAACAACCTTTCGGATTTCAGCCTTCACCGGAGGTGCATTCTGCAATGGTGCCACGAATCAGCATTGGTGCTGAAGTATTAAAAACCACCTCCCGCTTATGCTACCTTGAGAATGTGGTTTCGACTGACAAGCAAATATACAGTGAGCTTCGTATCTGCGTATCGAAGGCAACGGCAGCATTCGAGAGTATCGAGTGTAGAACAAACACTAGCTTACTGTTGGCACGAAGCTGATGGTCTACAAATCCATGGTGCTGTCCGTTCTTTTATACGGCAGTGAAACGTGGTTGACGTACCGGCGAGATGTGAGATATCTCGAGCGGTTTCATCAACGGTGTCTGCGACGGATTCTGCGCATCAGTTGGTGCGACAGAGTTGCAGACACGGTATTGCTCCGAAGTGGAATGTAGGCTGAGACACTTGAGGTGGCTCGGTCATGTGTGGTGTACGTATTCCACGCGGATACCGAGCCAGCTGTTATATGGTCAGCTAAGTGTGGTGAAGCGGCATGCGGCGAAACCGAAGCTTCGTTACTATGACATGATCAAGGTGAGCTTATCACCTTCTAATGTTGATTTCAGGTCTTGGGAATCGAAGGCAGTCGATCAGCGTGCATGAAGCGATCTGATCACGAACGCAGTTTCCGAGATGCAAGAAAGAGCCCTCGCGCATCAGAGAAGAAGCGGCAAGTGCGGAAGCGACAGGTGCCGATGGGATGTACTCCATCGACGTCGAGCGCATGGTGCTGGAACACATGCGGTCGCGAGTGCTTGAGTCAGGTAGGCCTAGTGAGCCATGAGCGAGGCCTCTCGGGACCAGCATCGAAACGACGAGAGGTCCTGCTGAGAACGTAAGCAGAACCGGCGCAGCGTTGGTAGGTACGTAGCATTCGATTTACTAACCGCGTGCTTGCGTTCTGAGTTTCTTTATTTCAGGTGGTGGGTTTGCTATATTTTGTTAATACTTAATTTCTTACTTCATTTTAATGTCTATCTGAATAATCTTCTATTTACTTACACACCTCGCTTAAACGAAAGGTGCTTATTTTCTTTATTTTATTTCGCGTTTATCGTATTTTTAGTTTCTTTCTACCATTTTGAGTTTATCGCGGATACCTTGATAACCCAATTGTTTCATATGGTCAATTAAATTAAAGTACAAAATATAAATTAAAATTGTCCCATTATTAATGTTATAAACAACGTACTGGCTTGTGCTTCTGTCCCTTACTTTTCCGGAATATACGCGTTATTTTATTTCACTCTCGTGTTGATCACTTCCCCATCTCTTAGTGCGCCTTGTTGTTCGTGTTCACCTCTCCGCAGTAGGCATCTTACTGTTGCTTTTGTTTGTTCTCCCAACTAGTCTCTGCTCTACTCCAAGGAGCTCATGCGGGTTCGTGATCGCGAACGGCTACATGCTGTCAACAATTTGGAATGTGACCGTCTCATGGAACGATGGACTGGCCCCGAGTGCGTTCAGGCAGTGACTAACTTTTTCCAACGAGACAAGCGATGATCGCCTGGCCGCCATTCTCTTTCACCTCTTTTTCCCTCTTCTACGCCACAACATCTACACGCGTCGATCTCTACTACTAGTTTAGCAGCGCTTATCCCAGCTGGCTAGTATTTATTTTTTATTTTTTCAAGTTGAAATGCTGCGTTTTAGTAATCCGACTTGTTTCCACCTGAGGCATCCTTTCGAGTATACCGTCGTTTTTGAGCTCTTCTGATTGCAAAACTTTTTTCCAATCAATTACCATTGATTTTATTTATATTTTTTAACGATTGCTCATCTAATAAATCCCGATCTCAGGAAGTGTCTTTTCCGCTGTCTCACCTATGTTCACCCTTTCACCTAACCCGGTCTCTTGATAGTCCCTTGAAACCGCCATATCCACTTAGTAAATGCTTTGTGTAATTCTCAGTAATTTTATGGTCCGTGGTCATTTATATGGTTGAAATGCTCCTATTCACCTATGTCAAGCTGGAGCCACGTTTACGAGTCTTCAGCCCCTGTGGGGTCATAAGAGAGAGTGGCCGTTGGTCCGAGTGGTCGTATACACGAAATGTAAGTGTGGCTCGTCTCTTTCTACGGCCATGAGCATTTTCTCCTTGAAAATTTGGCCTCAGGTCTTTACCCACTGCTTCCTATCTACAAAGTTGAAGTGCGCTGACGAATAGTAGGCGGCACTGGAATTGGGACTCCACAGAACATGACTGGTGGTAAATGGCACCAGTTCGTCGATTTATCGATACCGCGCCCATAATGCCGATCGATCAGATAGCAAGACAGCGTAGGAAATGCTCGAAGGCATGAGTCAGGGTGGCGCTTTCCTGGGGCCTCCACCTTAGCGATCAGATGCCCGAACTTCCCGTCTGTGGTACCTTTGCCCCCCCCCTACACTTTAATCCTCCCGTGTCGAGCAATTTTTGCGTTTACCTCAATTCTCCACGCCATTGTTTGTTATCTCCCTGATGACGCCAGTGAATGGAATCGGAATTCGCATACCTGATTAATTGATCAAGGCTGTCGGAATGGGAGTGTCCTAACAGAGTGAACGTATCGATCAAACGAACGAGCCAGACAACCAATGGGAGAAGGACGTAACCATTCCGATCACTGGGCACGGATTAGCCGACATTCGTGTGGGTTACACACCGTTTGTTTAACTGAGTCAAAGGTGGAACCTCCGGCTCAGAAGAGTCGTTGTTTATGGAAGTGAACAGGCAATTTACTTCGGGTAGTTTGGCTTGCCAAACTTACCGTAATTGTCGCTGTATTGACTTTGCCGAGTAAACTCTTGTCCCTGAAGGGCTGAGTTCTGCAACAGCGTGGCTTCGGTGCGCGCGCTGTTTACCTCCTTGCCATCTCGAAACCAAACAAACCTTAATCCTTTAGTATTCGTTTGAGGTATATCACATACTGTTGTTGAATTACCCGAAATCCATCTCAAGACCCACGTCACCACTTTGGAAACAGCAATTTGATTGATCCCTATCGGTACAATCCGGTGTCTTACAAGTTCGTTTTGATAAGTTATTATCGCAATACCGCGTTGTGCCACAATTATACCATGATGCATCCACCGAACGATCTTTTAATGAAGTGATAGTCACACACGCGATTGAATTTGATAGAATTCGGTTTACCGAAAGGGATCGTCAACCTTCGGCCCTCGATAAAGCCTGATCACAGCAGTGGTCAAGAAGCGAGTGGTTGAGGCTGCCTACGTCGTTACGTAACTTCAAGGCCTGCTGCTACTCGTTGCGAAATCAACTGGTGGCGTGGTTGGAGCCGAATTGAGCCAGTCGACGTCATCTGTATCAGGGGGGAGCATCCAGCTACCCAAGCGAAAGTCTGTAAACTAACAGTCCAGTTGCCTGTATCTTCATAGCCCTCATCGCAAAGCATAACAAACGACAATTTGCTTCCACCTACCACATAACCACGGCTTTCGTTTCGTGGGAAGCACAGCATGCAACGAGTTACCAGGACGAATGTGTCCATGTGATCGGTACTTCCGTTGCCCTGTCAGTTTGCCGACGTATTCGACTGGCATCTTGAGAATGACGATGACGATGCACGTTCTGCATCGTCTTCACCCAATCAACTGATGGTTTTACAACGAATTTCACATTGTGACTGTCATTAATGGGTTCATCCTTTAGATACCTTCGTTTCATTTGCGGTTCTAGTGACTCACCGATTGACTACTACGTATACAATTTAATGTGTGGGGGTATATGCATGGGTTCCCATGTTGGGTCTTGTCACTCTTCTGGCTGCTGTGTCTGCATGGCTAACGTGCTTGTTTTCCAGCGCTGAGTGCTCACGAACCAAGTGTTGACAGGGTTCTCGCTCGTCCATGAGTAACCACCCCGGCTGCTGGGTCTACTGGGTGAAGACGGAGCGCATGTTCTTCGTGATAGGGCTAGGTTCAGAGCCTGTTGCCATCATTGAATGTTCCAGCCTACACCCTATGTTTGCTGTTTGGTTCACATGTCCCCCCCCCCCCAATTTTACACCAAGCACCTGCTTGTCAAAGAAATTTGGATCTTCTCCGAATCATTCTCATACCTTCCGATTTTTCACACTCAAAATGCAAAGTCCTTCTCCAAGACTGGCATGGATCCACTCCTGCGCTGACACCTAGTGGTGATCAGCTAGAAGTGTTCCAGATATTCAAGTATGTCGGCAGCTAGATTAGCGCCCGTGGGACTGAAGTTGAGATCACGAATCGTATAGCAAAAGCTCGAGGCGCTTTTGCCCATCTCCTCCGCCTTTGGCGCCGGTGTGACATCGTTCTCGCTCTGGATGGCAGAGTTTACAACACAGCCGTGGGTTCAACCTGTTGTGCGATTGCAAAAGCTTGCCCATTACTTCGACATACATAAAGAAGTTCACTATCGATGCCTTCACATCTTAGTTCATATCTGGTGGGAACATCCCGTGAGCAATGAGCATGTTCGGCGTCGTGTATTTGGTGCAGGAAGAGCGAGTGAACCGCTTAGCACCGTTATTTCACGAACCAGGCTCCGATGGTTTGGCGACGTGTTATGCATGCCAGCCCACCGACTCCCGTGATGTGCGTTGTTTGCGTACCGGGTTTGTGGATGGAAGAGGAGGGGAGGCCAATCGATTATTTGGTCAAGAAGTGTGAAGGCCCCTAGTTCGTGTCGGTTGGTGTCTGCCGTACTGGGATCTGAAAGACGATGAACACGTTTTGCTGGATACACTTGTTGACATGACGAAGAGCCGGCCTCAGTGGCGTTTATGTTGTGAGTTTCTTCGTCTCTTTTTCTCTCCTTTAGCTTCTCCAACCGCGACTGCTACAAAAGTTGGAGGACTTCGGGATCCGGGACCCAGTACTAGGTTGGCTATCGTCATACCTGAGTGATCGTCATCAGGTAGTCACTTTAGGTGATTATCGCTTTACCCCACGCTCAATCACCAGTGGAGCCATTCAAGGGAGTGTGCTCGGTCCCTTACTCTTTTTACTCTACATCAATGACATCACCACATCTGTAAAACACGGTACATCACTTTTACTTGGTGAGAATATCAAACTAGTCTATAAGTTTCGGCGTGACGAGCTTCACGGGACATTATAGCTTATTCAAGATTATTTACATTCCCTTGAGTCGTGGTGCTGCACATGGGTGATGAACCTCTCGGCTAAGAAATCAAGCATCATGTTTTACGGCTGCTGCATCCCCCCCAGGATCTATCACCCTAAACACTGTACGCGTCCCTACACAGTTGTCCACGCGAGAGCTTGGAATTAGGCACTCGTCTACCTACAATTTCTCCGAACAGGCCCAATACCAAGTAGCATGTGCCAGACAGTCTATGTTTAATATATCAAACAAAATACACACAACTCATGCTTGCGTTGAGCTTTTCAAGTTACTCACTCGCCCCATCGTCGAATACTGCAGCATGATATACGGAAATATGAGAAAGGGTGACAGAATTGCTGTGGAGCACCTGCAGAGGCCATCTACTAAACATCCGATTGGTAGACACTGCTGTGATTTATCGAGAACGTTGCAGTGAACTTCATCTCGAACCACTTTGGATTCGACGATTGAAGCACAACTTGTTGCTGCTTTTCAACATGTAACACAAAAGGACCTATTCCAATCTGCCTACACTCAATTTACAACATTGCTTAACTCGAGCGCTTCGCAACGAAGATATTACATTGAATATACCGAAGGCTAGTACGAACCTCCGCTCTAATTTCTTCCTGGTCAGATACAGCTATCTGTGGAATAAACTACCAATAACACTCGGGTCATGTGATAATGTGGCAACATTTAGTACCAGACTCGCCAATTACCTTGATCTAACTACACTAAGCTATATATTCACAAAGGAAAATTCCTCGATGAGCTATTCCAAGAGGGGCCCAGAAACTCAAATGTTTTCATAACTAGGCTTTGACCTCAACTATCCGCCAGAATGTTAATACATGAAACGCATATCCCAATACTCCACCTATGCATGTCACCCATGCAAGAGCATGGATTCTTCTGTACAAATTGATCTGTGCCGCTATAGACAGTTTCTCTCATCAAGAGAAATATACGTATTATTATTATTATACCTAATGCATAACACGATATTTAACATTTGTTCAAAAATCTTTTTGTGGTGTGTTCTGTTTAACGTCTCGGCACATTAGCCGAGGCATGTTTCTCACCCTCAGCTATAGTGTATTGCTAATGATTCCGATTTTAAACCCTAGAGTTTATACTGCGTATGGGGTGAGTGGGTAGTTCAGCACATGTCACCCACGATCCTACTGTAGGCGCGGAACCCTGGGGCTGTTCACAGTCACAGTGACAACTAGACGTAGGAAAGGTATGCCACCAACCGTATGAGTGGATGGGCGGACCAAATTTGAATGTGTGCACATAATTGCATCGAGTTTCTTCTTATGTATTCCTTTACGACCGCTCTGTATACGGACTGCATGTCTGTTGGTCTTAAACTCTCCAAACAAGTTCCACTACGCGCCTAACCTTTTAAGGCATATGTTGCTTAAATTGTGCTCCATGAGATGTCTGCAGTTGTCCCCAGTGCCAGTATCTGCGCCGCCCACCATGGGCTATTTTTTGGCTACATTTGCATACATGCCAAATTTCCAACTGCTAATAAACTCCTTACCATGGTTCCACTTTACCCAACTGAACTTGATGTGTGGTGGTATGCTAGGAAAATGAACTCGGATGGGATGCGCGCTGCGTAGTGTCAGAAAACAAATTCAAGTATTTGTAACGCGCAACTTCTCATCATCTCGTGGATATTTCACGGAATGTGCTCATGCACTTCGGATGATACGAAGGGCGGAACGGGAGTGAAAGAGAACAGGCTTTTTCTGATGAAACCACAACCATGGAACTCTGGAAGATGTATGAAAATATCAACCATGGGGATTCTGCGCTATCTACTCCCTCACTGAGGTTATGCGGTGAAATGACGTGGAAGCATCTGGCACTTAACCGGTAGGTCATAATGCACTTCCTTTCGGATTACCGCACCAACGCTGGATGAATTCTTTCACATCTACGCACTCTGTAGTCCTTGCGACTTTGGCCGCGTGTTGCAACCTGCTCCAGTGATCCCGAATAGCAACCCGTCCGGGATTGTCGAATTCCACACCGTTACGAAGCACTGGGTAGCCGGTGATGATGCAAGGCAGTGCGGAAAGGCCAGTCCCCGAAGCCTCTAGGGCTCCTTCATACACACCTCTTTCATCCTTCGGAAGTGACTGTTCTAGTTTCTGATCCATTGACATCATGAGAATCCATTCGCGAACTGCCTCATGTTCCTCTTGTGTTGTGTACGGTTCCGCCGGAAGAGGAACCTCCATTGGGATATCAGTACCCTGGGAAAAGGAGATCAAAGGGAGTATGCGTGCACACAGAGGTGGCAAAGTTTACTGTGAGCTAATTGACGGGGCAGTACCTGAAAATCTGATGTATCCAATGCGTCAGCGGTTCCATCAGGATCTTCTATCGCTTCGACAAGGTCCAGATAGCGGTTTAGGAAGACAAATGCCATATTGTTCCAACCCATCTCACGACACTGCATTCCAGCTTCATAAAACACCTTATCTGCCGGCAAGATATCCGAATGACGCAGAAGGGAAATACTCAACTTTGCGACCATCTGAAAGGTGTGACCAAATAAATTTGCTGTTACATGAGGTGTTTTCAAATTGCACGAAATGGAAAGTGACGATACAATCAATTAAGTACAAGGGCTAAAAATATGTGTACTCTACTCCTGATCCATTTGTTTTCCGGATTTCCTTCTGCATAAAGCGTATTAATTGCACTGAAAGAATACTCGTCGACCTCATTTATTATCCAATGAACAGATGGGAAATGATTGTCTCACTTCGAGTTTCTCTGGTTTCGTCGAACGCCGACTCGTATTCTGTCCCTCCCAATCTCAAGTTCCGTCCGAAAGTTTTGCTGCCATGCTCAACTTCAGAGCGTCCAAATAAATGGCGAAATTGTTTACAGATTACCATGGTCACCTCTATGAATCATACTACGCTAACCCATCCGGTGTCCACTGTAAATAAGTGAACTGTTATTCTCGATAATGCGAGACACAATATATCGGCATGATCGGGTGAGCGCATACTTGCATAGAATGTCAATCACAAATGGATAAGGAAAATTAAAAATCTGGGTACGTTTAGAAGGACAGCAATGGGATATTGAAATGTTTGATCGAAATGAATTGATGTTGGCTGACCTTCGACCACTCTCTCACACATAATTTATTGTATAACAGCTAAATCACAGTGGAGAGAGTGTGATGGTGATCTAAGTACTTGCTCATATGAAATCTGGACCCTGCTCGTCCGCTTGGTTTGTTGTTATAGAGCAATGCAATAGTTTGATAACGTTTTGTACAGTCAAGAACTTGTTGGCGTTTTTGCCATATTCGTGTTCAGGAGTACATGGACCTATTTCGGTTGGTAGCTTGTTACAGACCCTGAGGTATCTGTGTATATATTTATTCACAAGTCTGTAAACAGGCAAATGTGCCATCCGAACCATGGTGGTATGGAAAGAAGAATGTAATGTTCAACGAGGAGAGAGAAACGTTAGAAAAATGTTTTTTTCCAGTTGGACATACGCCGTCTTGAATTTTTTTCTGTTTTCATGTTTTGTTCAAGACTAGAATGTACAGGGTGAAGAGATGGTAAAGCAGCATTGACGCCACTGACTCTTATTGCGGGCCATATCCTCCAAGACTTACAACCATTAGGAATCCGCTTCACGTGGTCCCCAGCCTGGAAGAGGCACAGATCCATCTGACGCTAGACACGAATTTAGGATCTTCATACACCTTTTCCAGGTCATCGGTTGTCCGCCGCGGCTCATTTTCCATCCTCGTCCAAGAAGTGCAAATAATGCGCGACGTGGAAGGCGGTGGGCCGGCATGCGCAGTAGGTGACCAAGCCAACGCAATTTGTACTGGATGATTATGCCCTGCAGACCAGGACTGTCCGCTCCCATGATTCTGCTTCTAACTTTTGCGTTGCTCCCATGGTGCTGTCACTATACGCGAGCAATCGAACGCAAGCAGCGGTTGTCGGAAGTAGATAGTCGTCTCAAATCTTCCGATCGAACAGGCCAGGTCTCGCAACCGTACAGTAGGACAGCACGGACTGTGGCATTGTACACTCTGCCTTCGAGCCTGAGACTGACATCGCGACGACGCCACAAGTGTCTCAGGTTAGTAAATGCAAGTTGAGCTTTGGCAATTCGTTGTGAAATTTCATCGCCAATACCGCCACCAGCCGTAATGCAACTCCCGAGGTAAGTAAAGCTGTTAACGAGCTCCAGGCTGACACCCGAAATGGTGAGCGTAGGCACAGGAGCCTGTCAATCCTGGAGCAAAGCTTTACACATGGATGGAGCAAAATACAGACCGTAGTTAGATACCTCTATCGCTAAGCGGTTCAGAATGTTTTGAACAATTTGCGAGTCGTCCCCCAACAAAGCGATGTCATCAGCATAGTCCAGGTCCACGACTCTACTCCCGCCGCAGCTCTGGCCTCCTTCCGATGCGCGATGTAGGACATCTTCAATGGTAAAGTTGAACAGGAACATCGAGATAGGACAACTTTGGCACACTCCACTGGTAACGGGAAAGGAAGAAGAAAGCTTTCCATAAGCTCTAACTTTGCCATAGGTGTGACTATACAGCTCTTTTAAGAGTATGACAGACTTGTCGGGAATGCCCTTCCGTAGCAGACAGTTCCACAGTGACGGCCTATCTACTGAATCAAAAGCGGCTCGGATATCCAAAAACACCATCATTGTTGGTCTTCGGTGGACATGACGATGTTCGAGAATTTGACGCAACGTGAAAATTTGGTCAATGCAACCACGGCCAGCACGAAAGTCAGCTTGTTCCTCACGACACAAACTCTCGCGAGTAACTGAGAGCCTACGCAGCAGAATGGACACAAAGAGCTTGGACGCGACAAAGATAAGTGAGATTCCTCGGTAGTTGGTGCATTCACTATGAGAGCCCTTCTTGTGGATCGGAACCACAACAGATTCTCCACATGAGTTAGGAACCTTCTCATCGCTCCATACCTTGGTGAACAGTGATAGAATTTCGGTGCCAACTAAGTTTCCCCCTTCTCATCTTTGGATAAGACCGGAGGAAGACTGTCAAGGCCAGGAGCTTTGTGGCGTTTCAGAGTCTGGATTTCCCTCTGTATTTCTGCTTCAGTGGGAGAATCTATGCAGACTGACCAAGGATCACCTGATGGCAGTGGATGTGTAACCGGAGGATGTGTTGAGCAATTAAACTGTAGAGCAAAGTTCTCTGTCCAGCGATCCAAGCGTTTGCGTAGTTTGGTGATCTTTGTACCGTCTGACTCACAGATGGTCTGACTGATGACCTGAACTTTACGTCCGGTGTATCTGATGAGATAAAACTACCTGCGTCTATTACCAGCAGAGGCAGCAACTTCCATTTCCTTGGCCTATTTAGACCACCAGAATTCACGATCACGGCGAAGACTCACTTTCAGTTGTCTGGAAATAGAACGGCGGACTTCAGTGTGCTCTGCACTGATGGGTATAGCCCACCGATAGTCGAGAACTTCCGCGGAGGTGGCCGAGACCCAACTTTTAGTTGTGTAACGAACAAGACCGCAACTGGATAAACCCGCTGAAAACAATCTGTTTCAATCGCAACCAATGCTGATCAAGGTTCCGAGGCTCACGGAGCTGCTTTTGATATTCCAATTTGCACGGCGGGGTCTTCCAGTTTACCAGAGTTAATTCGAGTTTGTCTAGTCCTAGGTGAGCCACCGAAACACATGCAAACCGTCGCATTCACTAGCGCATGATCAGTTTCCACGCATGTTGACCAAAAGGATCTGCGGTTCCGAATACTGTCACGCGAGCGATGATTTATGGCGATGTGGTCAATCTGTGACCAACGTTGATGAGATGATTGAGCGTGCCAGGTAGCGTAGTGACGTCTAGGGTGGCGAAAATTCGTGCTGGAGAAGTAAAGTTGGTGGACAGCACACACACTGAGTAGTCTTTCATCATTGTCTGAGCGAAAGTTGTATCCATGCGGGCCCCCAAGATGGCGTTCGCTTGGTAACAAACGATCAACACGCGAGTTGAAATCCCCCGCCATAATAATGATGTCCGTTTTTTTTGGGGGGGGGGGGCCTTTAAGAGCGCACATTGAACGCCGCCAAGTTGAACTGTGTCTTCGGTTGCAGAAGCGGAGAGGATAGAATCCGGGACTGTTCCATCCCGGTTTGGCGCTGTGTGATTATGTCAGAGGATGGAGCGGCAACAGTGATATCGGAGGAAGTAATGCTGCTCATCATTGATTGATCAGACAAAAACGAGGAAGAATGATACAGGGGAAGAGTAGATAAGCGAGTGGCGTGTGATGGAAGAGTGTTTGCAGTAGTAGCACGAGAGCAAAGCATCAAGATAGCGAAGAGTACAGTTCAGTTCCATGGTTCATCAGTAGGCGAGATACTACCCGGTTGCCTAGGTCGAAGTACGGGGTTGTCTTAGGGGGCCGCCACTCCGAGCCTTTGGCTCAATAGCCTACCCGCAAGGCAGCGGGGCGAATTCAGGGAATCGCGCCCATTGGGAGCCGGTGACCGATTACTCGGTTCATACGCCTTTCGTTTGGTCAGGTACCAAACATGGGTCCAATCCTCCCCACGATGACACCATCTGGCAGCTGGAATACAATGCTCCACTGGAGTGAATCAAGGGGCAGTGACTTTATTTAGTGGCGAGTCACATCCGCCACGTCACAGTGTTATTAAACGGACATATGTGGCTTTTTCTAGGGAGAACGCTTGCCAAGCGAAAACCCACGTATCTGCTTTGGAAACTATTCGCAGACATGCTAGTCCTAGGGTTGCATTCCGCCAATGACTTCTGCTTATTTCGTGTTATCGACGGCTTATTACGTATATTTCTGTGCAAATTGTTTAAAAAATATGACTAGGTTATGCTTCATGCGCCATAAGCAGGGCGCATTAACCTTCCGCTTATCACATCGTTCAGAACATACCAGCTTTGAAAACGCACCCAAAAAACGCTTTGTGAATGCTCTCTGTACTTCTCACAGTAGTGAAGTCGCAGTTTCTTTGAGCTGCTGTACACCATTGAACAATATTCCAACATCGGTCGAGCAAGTGAGATATAAGAATGAAGTATTGACTCCTGAAGAGAAAAAGTCCTAAATATAAATCTAATGTTCTGTCTTACTCTCGCGATAACGTAACATACATGTTCACAGAAATCAAGTGAGCGTGAACATCACAATCACAGGTCCCGTATAATACGACAGCGATTAATTGGTTTGCCGTTAAGTCGGGCCGCTGTAAGTCAAACCGTACTTGTAGAACATTTCACGACATGGGTCTGTAGAGAAAGACATTTTCTACTTTAAGCACCAGATCGAAGTGGATCATGTTAACAAAGATTTGAGTGTCATCGAAAATGAGGTATGGTGTGCTGAATTCTACTACTTTGAAGATATCGTAACATGTACCAAGAACAGTAGTGGCCTAAGGACACCGCTTTATATTACACCGCTGGTGGCACATGTAGCCGGTTTTTGTTCTTGAACTTGTACCACCTACGTTCGATTTGAAAGGTATGACCTGAACCAAGAAAGCAGGCATTCTCTGATCCTATGGAACATCATTTTAGCTATCATTTATTCTTGAAGCACCCGATCAAAAGCATTGAAGTTGCCGACATCCCAATATCATATTAGGCAGTTAGTTGGCTTAGAAATTCCAGGTGGCATGTTATTCTAGACCGATTGTTCAAGATGCCGTGTTACTAGTTGTTTATTAGCTCTCTTGACAGTAGAAATCTGACCGTTTTAGCTTTGGTATGTCGCTCCATAATTTTTGATTATATGAATGACTTATTAGCGATTATTTTTAAGCTTGAATAGAGAGACTGCCTTCTGTCGCGGCACAACGATAGCTTCTTTCCACCGAGTTGGTACGGTGCCGATGTTCATTGATAGGTTGAACATAGTCAGTAATGGCAAGGAGGTGTCATCCCTTCCCAAATTCACAACTACGGGTTGGCATTGTCTGGACCCCCTGGTAAGTTTGTTTGTATCATGGAGCTCAAATCTGATGCAGTTGTGCTGATCGACTCTGACTGGTGGCAAAATCATGCATATGGGTTCAATATCGAAGTTGAAGGTGGCGCATACATCTTGATTCAACATTGAGCGGGGTCTGGTATGTTGCAGCCATCTGATGCTTCGAGCGAGATTGCGCCTTGAATATGCCTGGTGGTTCTGCGCTTTAAAAGACTGATCAGTTCACGGTTTTTGAATCGTCCATCGTGGGCCCTTTTTCATCGCGATTTATTTTGTGTGATAGGCGAGCTTCAGCGATGTGGGGTTGCATCATAAATGAGAAATTAGTCGTTTTTCATGAAACGGTCTTTTCGTGGCCTGAGCGAAAGTGTCTATGTTTGATAAGAGCCAGTAGGTGGAGACAGAGATTAATGCTGTTATTGAGAGCTTCAGCTGCGGCCTACGGGTCATTGATGATACCCAAAAGTCCCATTAAGCATGCCTGCGTAAATTGGTAAACCAGTCCCAATCAGCTGGTTTGTACTGCCTTGAGAACATTTGTGATTGGGGCGTAGTCGTTATTGTGAGTCGGATGTGATTACGGAATAAAGGAGACAACTCTTTGATCATTACCACGAAAGTGTTCCAAAATATCAGCGGAGTCTGGCATTAAGCTAGTGGTAAAAATCAAATCCATCCTTATGTGTCTATCCTTATGGATGGTAACCAAGAGACCAGGTTTCCATACCTAATGAGGCTTGAGGTCCATGAGACATCCGGCGTGTCGAAATCTCCGCTTGGTCGGTTTGTCTGCTATGTAACAGAACATCTATTGTAATGCATAGGTTTCTGCCATACTGGAGTTCGGCTGCATATATACACGCCCAAGAAGTAGAAGGTTATCTTGTGACACATCTATAGAAACTGAGTCCGGGCGATATTTCTCTAAGGGAAAATTTACTGTTGAAGCACGCAGTGTATCGCATACATAGATAGCTCAGCCGCCATCTAGTCCATGTTTACGGCATCCAATCGATTCATTATATTGCAACACGAGGTAGTTGAACTCAAGTGTGTGTGTTCCACTAACCACGTCACGATCATGAGTATGATTTGTGCATCGAGAGAGAAAAAGCTAAGAGTAGAAACGATTTTGATTTTGTGGGAGCGTGTGTTAGCAAAACACGCATGGATTGAGGTGGATGAAATAAGTTCGTCATTTGTTGAAGTAGTGTGGGACCATATTCTGATGGTAATGCTTTGAATTCCTCAATGGTCGGCAGTTTTATGATGTTTGCATCAGATTTGTCTGAAGCAGTGGGATAGAGGTCTGTGGAGACGGAAGGTGAGTGCAAAAATGTTGCAGTCGGATCTACCACTAATAAATTCAGGGGTAGAGACAATTTATCACTTGGGAGCCCTGGCAGACTTGAACACAAGGAAGTAGTTGGGGCATTGAGTACACATTCCGACTGAATTGGTGCTGAGCCAGTCTTGTTATCTGAATACACTTTAGTATGGTGCCAAATAGTTGGTGCCCATCGGAATTGTCAGTTTCAAGAATGGCATCGGGACTATGCCCGCCTCCTAAAAATGGGTCGGAAGAAAACGCTTGGTTAAGAGTAGTTGCGCGGGGTGTGGGGTGACCTCGGGGCGTCATTGTCTACTTCTTTCTGCTGTTAAAACTGCATCAATTATTTCTGCTATAGGCTTGCGTACAATAGACAGGAGGTAATTTTTCATGATATCTATCAGTTTTGGAGATTGAGTGGTGCTTACGTCACGGATGCATGTGGGACTAGATGACAAAAGCTATTTCATGTGTGTATGTGGCAGATAAATTCACCAGTTACTGTTACATTGAGGCGATCCAGGAGGTGCTCGTACGAACACATTTTTTGGTGAACTTCTCCACACATCAATGATGACATTCGCATACTTACTTCACCCACATCCTGACGACTGCACAACAGGGCACATCGTGTGGCGTAGTAGTGAGAGACCAAGAGCGTTCGTTCAAAAATGTTCGCAATCTCTTTTGTCACTTCTGGAGTTTGCTTCAAATTCTGGCACAGATCAAACAACATGTCACGCAGCGCAGCCCACGTTGGATGGCCCTCGGGACCACTGAGATTCCGTTGGCTGGTAGTATCCTGAAAGTCAAAAAGGGAATTCACGAAATGACGCACGTATGCTTAAACATTGTAGAAGCCTCTTTTCCACAGTGGCATCAGGCTTTTACACTTGCAACTCCTACATTAGTGAGTTACCGGTTGGCACCGACTTTAACATCGTCAGCGATTGCAAGGGTAGCACTTTCTACTCATTTACTGCTCTTGATAACGATAACTGGTAGAATGCTTAGCTAGATCAAGCGCGTTTCTGTGATCTCGAAAGTAAACCATAGTCGTTCCGCCGTACGTTTGACGCTACTCTAACGTTTGTTACCCTGTTCAGTCGCCTGTCTATTCAGCTACCAAGAGAAATTCTAGTTCTACAGTAGGGTAGCGGACGAAAATGCACTCTGGTCACTCTACCATTGACATAAGTGACATGGTGATCGCACTACAAGGCATGTCCATTGTTCGGCTCGACCGACCCAGTAAGGGTGCATGGGTGGCTCTGTACTTCCGCAACGACATGAAATGTGAGCCCATAAAGGATCCGGTCAGCACGTACCAAGAATCCATTTGGCACTGTCTACATTTAGAAGGCGACGACATTTGCTTAGTGGCGGTCAGTTACCGCCCTCCTTCTTCCACGCCCGAGATGGACTTCTCTCTGGCAACCGCACCAAGGTGGGTGATAAACACAACTTACAGTCACATTCTCAGTACTGGCGATTTAAACACCCACGCTCTGGAATCCACAGCAGTTCCCGATCTACAAGAGGTAGTTTCCAGTTACCCGCTGTATTGACACATCAACACTCGCACTTGATTCCGAGGAAATGATAAGCCTTCGATACTGGATCGGATATTCACCAACGAAGAACTATTGGTCGTGAGGGTGACCCTCGATGTCCTCTTGGGCTGCAGCGATCATGTAGTCCTACTTTTCGAATACAGCTGCTATGCAGAATATCCGGTGAAAATTGCCGGTGCAACAAAAACGATTATACCTTACGACATATTAGCTCGATTAGATGAGACAGCCAACCGAACCTTTCTGGCAGACGACCCACCAGCTATTGCATGGGAACATTTGTCAACTAGTTTAACTCTCTGGTTGCCGAGGCGTCAGCGATTAAGACCTTCCTCTCTACAAAACTGGTCTCATTACTGCGAAGCAGAACACGGAAATGTGTAGCGATGCGAAACTCAGCCTGGCATATCTACCAACTCTTCCCGAGCATCGAGAACTGGATGGCCTATGCGACCCAACGTAACCATTGTAGCTTGTTCGCGAGAACAGAATGGCGTACCAGAAGAAGTTGTCATTATGGCCTCAAACCACAAGCTTCTGTAGCAACACGTCCACATCCTACGTAAGGAGAAACGGGGAAATCTTCCTCTTCAAAAAGCGAACGCACCCACAGGGGCACCGAAGGAGGCGGCAGATACCCTGCGCTTACAATATGGTGCAAAATTTCACTGCGCTCACTGGCCACCTAACTCTATGACAATGGTTGTTCCACCCCCTTCACAGCAGAAGCTGTATTAAAAAAGTTGTTGAGTATGCGAAAGCACAGCTCTCCTGGAGTTGATAATACACACACGAAATCGCTAGCGAAGGTAGGAGAGAGTTTAGCTGAGCACTTGGCTCCATTCTACCAATACTGTTTTGAAGAAATGTACGTGCACGATATGTGAAAACACGGGATGATTACTTCCATTCACAAGGGTGGTGGTCCTTCCAATCCAGCCAACTATCGTCACGTAATCTTACTACCTATTCTTTCCAAAGGTTATGTAAGCTATCATTTCTGATGCGCTAACGACCTGCTTAGAAGAATTTAACTACCTCGCATCAGAACAGCATGGGTACCGCCGAAATCGGTCGTGCACTATAAATCTACTACCAGCATGGTCCAGTTAGACTGAAGCAATAGACTCTGGCACTGGAGTTGGTGTAGTCTTTCTCAACTTCTCAAATGAGTTCAACCGGTTAGACCATGACATTCTGCTCTCCAACCTCCAGACCGTGGGTATTAGTGATTCATTTCTAGGATGGATCAAAGCTTTCTTCTACATCGGCGCTTGGAAGTACAAGTGCGTGAATCGCTGTCAGATCCCATTCGAGTTGAATGCAGAGTACCACAAGGATCGGTTCTAGGACCGCAATCATTTTTGACGTATATTAACGATATCGCACGCTTTATAAGCTCAAACTGCCTGCTTTATGTCGATGACATCAAGTTGTGAAGGGCGATCAATACACCAGATGATAGCACAGTACTTCAAGCTGATCTGGATAGGGTATACGCATGATCAACTCGTAATCTACTTCGATTCAATGTGGACAAATGTAGTGTGCTGCCCCAACGGCACAAGTTGGTCTACTCCAACGAACTCGGTAACCAGGAGCTTCAAATGACTTCTGGCGTAAAGAATCTGGGAGTTTTGGTCCATGCCTATCTTGGATGCTCGAATCAAACTGTAACGGCGTCAAAGAGCGGCATCCAACACGTGGGCTTCCTGAAGCGTGCATTTGGACGATTTGACCCTTTGTTTTTTCCGCAACTTCTCGGCTCATGCATACGTCCACATGTGGAATACGCACTACAGGTCTGGTAGTCATGGCTGAGGAGAGATTTCACCGCCTTTGAGATACTCCAACGCCGGGCAACCAAAAGTGTCAAGAGTCTGTATACTTTGCCGTATGAACGAAGGCTTCAAGTGCTCGGGGTATTCACTGGGCAGTATCGGCGATTGCGCGGTTTACCTCATGTTGACTTACGAAATTTTAAGAGACCCTGATCACATATGCTGCTTCTTGCTAGAGGTCAGTCACAACAGCAATTTGAGAGGCCATCATCTCAAGCTGGCAGAGTAACACAGTCGTTTGGAATGCCGTCGGAACTTTTTTCCGTACGCGTTTGCAGAACGTGGAATGTCCTACCGGAAGCTGTCATATATGCTCCTACGCTGGCAGAATTCAAAACCCGAGTTGACCGCTCACTTATCTCGCCGCACCATCTTACATTACTCGTTCATTACCCATGGATAAACACAAGTGTCTATAAGCGATTTCACTGGCGGTCAAATCCTAGATTTCCTTCCACTTTTTCACCCCCTGTATGTGAACACCTGAAGGAGAAACGATTTTTACCAACATCCCGTTTGCCGTCATTCCTCATTGATTTACAGCTTACTATACGTATACCTCAGTGAGTTCACCGGTGTAAACCCAATTTTACTAACAATATTTTTTCTATTGTGAAGTTTCACCATAACCATCCTACGGGACATGTTAAGCATTAGCTTTTTTTACCCGTATAAAACCATTGTTTCATTGTGCCGACTTAGCATCCAAGTGGTCGAGTCACATGTTACGCCAGCCCTTTTCGAATACCACCATTTTACGAAGCCTGGTGACGTATTTCACTGTGGGCCCTACATCCCAAACCTTTGTGTGCTTTCGATCCCAACCATAATTCCCTGCCCCAACTATCAATCTCACCCTATGTTCACAATCATCAAGCCCAGATGCACTTTGCGAATTCGTCTCGCCACCCTTCCGTCAACACCGTTAAACGTTGATGTGAGCGAAGTTCGTGCTTTCTACATCCGACATCACCTGTCATTTTATTGCCGGTAATCTCACCTGTTTCAGTTACCTATCCCTTTGCGCTGTCTGAACATTGGTTACGTTAGTCGTCGAGCTCACGCGGTTTGAATATCAGTGAGTGTGACTAATGAGTGCTATATATGACATCGCAAGCCATCATACTCTCAGTGACCTTACATTGGGAAAATTGATGTGTTGAAATCACGCGTGCAACCCATTCATCCGCATTCTTCGGACTATTGGCTGTCTTCCTTGCTTAAGCTGTCGTATAATACGCCGCGTACTGGGGCGCCGTTAGTTTGTGCATGCGTTCTTTTGGAGCCATATTTGTTGGCTCTCTGCGATGGATTGTAAGTTGTTGTTACGGAGTTGTACCGTAAGCGCACATTGCTGTGGTGCGTACGGAGTAATATTGTAGTATACTTTTTCATTAGTACCGTTTCCGAATCCCAGTTTTGTTTTTGATTGATACCCGAGGTGAAACTTTGCTGAAAGCTTTCCTAGCTATTCTGACGCTTACAACCACTATGCTCGATTCGCCTAAGATGGCTGGCACAAGCTCATTCTTCCGAACTTTTTCGGACAGACAGATCAATCCATCTTGTTGGACTTCATCATTATCTCCGAATAGCAGTTCCAGCGACTGGCATCAACGATCTAGTTTATAGCGTCGAACTCAGCTGGGACCCTAAACTAACCGATTGTGGTTCGACCATCTGAGAACAAAGCGGTTCTGGGACAAGGAACCAACACAACGATCCCTGAAAGCATTCTGTCACAATAGATGGATTAAGTTTCTGATTGTGGCTTGGGACACGGGTAGCTTGGCCTGACTTGAGATGAGTGATCAATATCCGGACCATCATGCGACACTGGGAACGTTTACACTTAGGAATCAACAGTCACTTTGATGCGGTGCCCGAAGATCAAGACGATGTGAATATCATATAGTCGAGCTACGTCTGTGATAAGATAGTTCTTTACACAAGTGTCTCATCTACATTATCCATCTGTAGGAGTACGATTGGAATACCTGCGTTCGCGGTTTGCGCATTATTCTAATTCATTTGAGAACCTCGCTAGTGCAATACAGAATATAGTCATATCAACTCAATATAGGCTTTATGTACGCGAAAGAGTGCGTTTTCACAACTTTGCAATAACTACCGCGGATAGATTAAAATTACAAATTTCTAAACCCAACTTTCCCGATGAAAAAATTGGCATGGGGTGCACAGGTGTCCGCCGAATACCGCCCCGTATATATAAGTAAAAATTTCCGTTGCCAAAGTGAATCATTGACATTTGCTTTCTGTTGAAGTTACAGTATCGTATTCCAGTCTGACAATAGGGACGATATTTCTTTAAGTTTCGAAAGTGTCTTTGATAAGTTTACGTGTAGCCTGCACATCTCAAAGCACCT